GATTCGAATCACATAGGATTGTTAATATTCAGAAGAAAAACATAACAATCTACAAATTAATGTCAAAGAAGGCAGCAGAGCACCTAGACAACTTTGAGTTGAAAGCTATGCCACACTTTTAGGCTATTTTAAGGCTATTTGGTTCTCTGCTTGCTTCGAACGGTTTTTTAAAGCTTTTTCTAAAAACAACCACACTGCATTTTTAGGCTATTGTTAGGCTTTTGAAATATTATAAAACTTTACTAAAAACATTCTATTTTTAAATAATACAAGGTGCTTTGTTGGCACAAAGTTAGCAGAGCACCTTGGTTTATTTTTTTCTGCAGGATATGCCAAAGTAGCTCTTTGTTGAATGTAATTTTCGCAGAAAAAGATGGGGTGGATAGGTGAGTCTTCGACCCTGCGTTCCGTACAGTTAGAATCGGCGGATTTGCCTAGTCTGAACAGGTGAACAATAAAGTTTCCATGGCTTGATTCAAGATGGGCTATCTTTCTAGGAAATAAGTTAGTGGCTGTGTTGAGCCAATTAGGGAGGTGCAAAATCAAGGTAAATAGATGTCTACCTTTGGCAGAATTTTCCCATTCTGCTTTCCAGGATTGAATTAGGATATTAATTTCGAGGTCAACTGCTGTCCAATATCTGTACTCACCCGTATTGGTGTGATTTCCTACAAAGTAGTTTGAGCCATTTTGTTTAAGTTCTGCATATGATTTTATGTACATGAGATGTAGATGGAGGAGTGGAAGTTTGGCAAGCAGAGCGTCTCATTTGGAGTTAAAGAATATGCTCCCAGAATGATCTTAAGACAAGTGGCTTGAGTCGATCGAACTTTTCTTTTGTTAACTACATTTGTAGCTCATACGATAGTATTGGAAGAATAGCGTGCAGGTATATTTCGATCCTATCCCAGTTTCCACATAGAGTTCTCCTGAGGATTTGAAAGATTTTTCTGCACTTGTCGGTGATGTATGATATGCGTTTTGCAATGGAAAGCTTTTGGTCGATAATAGTGACTCGACATTTCGTATGAACTACTCTATGGATGGGTCGTTGTTCAAAGCGACTGACGGGATGTCTCGCAAAGGACAAGTTTGAGAAAACTACGTATTTGGTTTTGGTTTCTGATATTGCTAGTTTGCTTCTTGATGCCCACATTGTGCAAGGATTTCCATACATTCTCTGGAGGTAGTTTCTAATGTCAGTTGGCTGTTTTAATTGATAACAATGGTGATGTCGTCTGCGTAGCAACGGTTTTTGTATTTAGTAAAGGGTACCATAAAGGTGTTCCATAAAACTGGTCCCAAAACTGAGCCTTGAGGACATCCTCTCGTTGATCTATTACTGACTTTGGAATAGCTCGTTGAATATTCGACACTTATTGATAGTCTTTTTTTAACTAGTTGTAGAAGTAATACGAGCCATCATAAGTTATCGAATGCCCCAAAAATATCGACAAAAATAGCCAGACAATGTTTCTGGCTTTCTCTGATAGTATCAGCGCCATCAACGTGGATCTGCCCTTACGAAACTCGTTTGTCAATTACTAAAGAAGTGTTCTTCAGAAATTTCTTTGAACATTTGTGCTAAAATTAGCCTTTCTGTGATTTTGCTAAGTTCTGACAAGAGAGTGATGGACTTAAGTGCCTTAGGATCGGAAGGATCCTTTATCAGGGCCTTTTAAGATAGTTAATTAACTTGCCTCGTTTCCAGTTGGTAGGGAAGTATTTTAGCCTAAAGCATGACTTGTATAAACGAATAAGTTCATGTTTAAGATACGGATAGGCCAGGACTAGCCATGGACCCCATCTTCACCTGGGGTTTTATACGGAGATATACTCATAATCGCATTATCAAGCATATCTTCCGTTATCTCTACTGCGTTATTTTTTCCCTGTGCTACGTTGGATTTAGCTCTAATGTCTCGATGTTCACTATTGTCCATTTGAAGAAGTAATTGATACTCAAGTACTTTCATCCTGATGGGACTCAAATACGCAAAAATTTCGAATACTTTATATTTTAGAGTTATCAACACTTTTTATTCCTACAGCTGACGAGTAACGAGTACGAGTACCGACGCGCGCATATATATTATAATAATTCCACCTTGGAAAAGTGAAACCATTCCAATATCCTAGAGCTTTTAGGGTTATGGCTTCTTTAGCTTCCTACAAAAATTTCAAAAAAATATCTAAAAATACTAATCCATAAATGTTTCATTTGTGAAAAATCTAAAACTTCCGCTTCTCTTTGATACGAATCTTTCTTATTGCTCCCTGGTCTTCTGCTTTCTGCTCTAACTCCTGACTTTCTGTACCTTTTCTTCTCCTCCTGGTCTCCTCTTGCTGTTTTCCTCTACTTTCTCCTCTTGATGTAACTGACAGTGCGATTGTGTCAGATATTAGTTATTTATGTCGTGGAAGAAGAGTCACATGTAAATGTACCTCTGATGAACTCTCCTTCCTACTAAGTTCTCCTTCCTATCCCATTCACACTTATCTTTAATTTTTTATATTCATCTCTACGGTATAAAATCTGCAAATTTAATATCTTAACTTCATTTAATATTTTCTGACTTTTTTTAGATTTTCCAACTGACAATTCTAAAACCCTCTGTCAATTTTTCCAAAATATATCTGTCAATTCTATTAATCCCACTACCTTCGCCGTCACAACCCTGAAGCCATTCCGAATTACTTATCGACGTCAACGATACAGGATGTGTGTGTATGTTTCTAACATTTTTTTTATTCTTATATATTCGTTCATTGTATATCTAAGACCATAAACTTTTTTGTGCACTTACGATACAACATAGTTTAGTACCAATATAATTAAATAAATTCAATAAAAATAACAGTAATATACAATTAAAAATCCTTATTTATTGATATGAAACACATTTTTGTCAGATTTCTGATAATCCGATTCTGATTAATGAGCACTTTGTTCTTGCCATTTCTTCTTTTTGACATTTGTTCTTCTTGACATTTCTTCTTTTTGACATTTCTTCTTTTTTGACATTTCTTATTTTTGACATTTCTTCTTCTTGGCATTTCTTCTTCTTGACATTTCTTCTTCTTGACATTTCTTCTTCTTGACATTTCTTCTTCTTGACATTTTTTCTTCTTGTCATGTCTTCTGCTTGGCATTTCTTGACGTTTCTTGAAGTTTCTTGACGTTTCATCTTTTTGCATTTCTTCTTCTTTCCGTTTAATTGATATATTTTCTACACTTAGGGGGGGGGGGGGAGGGGGAGTGAAGTGACTTGTCCTTGGATCGAGGGATCAAAATAGTCCCTCCCAAAGAACGTCCAGACAATATAATACTGTTTCAATCATTAATAAATTTATAAAATCAATTGTCATCTTTTTTGTCGAAGGTAGCAACAAAAATCGAATTACATCTTACATTTTGGTCCTCTATACAACCGTGTGTAGGGGAAGTAGAGGGGGAGGTGGATCGAAAATCTCCAGAATCCAAAGGTGTGCGTCTTTCGGGTCTAATTTAAAAAAAAAACTTTGTCATATGGAAAGGAGGGGTAAGGAGTGAGGGGGTAAAATTGGCTTATTGGAAAACACAAAAGTGTTCTAAATCTTTTATGTGAGTATCGCCTAAATGCTATTAATATGTTTGTGCTTATTTTTAAATTTTAAAGTATATTTTGGTTATTTTTTGTTGTAAAAGAAAATTGTTTTAATATAAGTATCTGTATCTGTAACGTGTGGAGGGTGGGTTACCCCCACGGCACTTAGGCCTCATTAGGCCCATTATGCACAAATCTTCTAATAATTGAGAGCGTCGGGCAATCATAAAGTATATGCTCGATGGTCTCATCTTCTTGTTCGCACCCTCTGCAGAGTACGGATTCTGACAGCCCCATGATATAGAGATGCTTTCGTACTTGGCAATGACCAGTCAGAATACCTGTGACTAGGCGCAGATTCTGTCTAGTCATAGGCAAGTATTTATTTGCTGCAGTGTTGTCAGGATAACTTAAGAGCTCCCTGGCAACTCTGCAGTTTCTTGTTTCGTCCCGTCTTTCCTTGAATTTCACAAGGGAATGTTCTTTGATTAGGTCTGTCACTACTGATTTTGTCAGGCCAACATAAGGGCCAGGTCCAAAAAGTATTTGGTTGGCTGCTTTCTTGGCTAGTGAATCAGCAAGACGGTTACCTTTCGATGTGGCGTGACCTTTGATCCATCTTAAGGTGACCACATTGTTGATGGATACTTCGGCCAAAGCTTCGTGACATTCTAGTACTAACCCTGAGTAAATTCGTGGTCTGTTCAGGGTGAGTAGTGCTTGTCTGCTATGTGTATAGATGAGCATGTTCCTTCCAGTGATATTGTTTCTGGTTATTTCTTTTGCTGCTATGAGAATACCCGTTAGTTTGAACTACACTGGTACTGTTGCTCACAGCCCATTTTATGTTTAGGTTTAAGAATCTGAAGTATATTCCACATCCTGAGCCTTGTTTTTAGAACCGTCGGTGTAGATGTGAATCGTATCCCACTTCCGGCTCTTCTATTTGTTCTATTATAACTTTATATGGCTTATGAAAGATATATCTCGGTGAGATGGAGTCCATGTTAGCTTGAAGCATTGGGAGCGTATCGAGCGCCTCCTGCCAAAAGCGACGTCTCGCCTCACCAGATCCTACATTAGGTTATATTCCAACCGTGCGGAGGCATGTCATTGTCGTCAGAGCAACTTCCTTGATGTAAATATCAAGCGAAGTGAGACGTAAGTGTGAGTCCACAACGACGCACCGCACATTGTACCGCACTTCGCCTGGTACATCGCCTTTCCTGTGCTAGGTAAATATACACATGTAAATAAACAGTTATGGCCATACAGACTCACCGCTCCTCGCCTCACACACGGCACGGCGCCCTAGCGCTCTACCCAAGGAATAGAGCTTAGTATTTTTTCGACCTTGGAGCATAGCATACCTTGAAATATGGATAAGGAAAACTTATTAATTGCGTATTTGTGCGTGAACCGATTTGAAACAAAGGAAATTGCAGATGAATGTGGACAAACAGGTAAGATAAATTAATAGCGGTAAAAGAAGGCGATTAAAGCTAGTATATTTTTGTCTAAACATTATTACAAAAGTATGTTTTGAATATTTATCTGTATTTGCCTTCGGTTTACAGCCACAATGTTAATTGTTCGCAGATTATGGTCCACTCCTTCTTTATCAATAATTATGTTATGCAAAATACAGATGACTTTAACAATTTTGTCTGCATTTTGTACACTAGTCAATACTGGTTTATCCAAAATTTGCCACTTTGCTCTTAGAATGCCAAATGCACATTCCACGGTTCTTCTTGCTTGGAATAAACGTTTATTAAACATCTTCCCCTCGGGATTTAAATCTTGCCTGCTGTATGGCTTCAGTAAATAAAGGATACCATTAATAAGTTTTTTATATAGTTGCGACGCTTGAAATGTACCTCCTTTGCTTTGTTTTCCATTTCCTCCAACATCAGTATTTATAAATTTATAGTTGACATCGACCAACGTTTGAATCACAATTGTAAAATAACCCCTTATAATTGAAGAACATAGCACTTGAGTTGCTGGGGCAGCGTATACGAATATGTTTCCCGTCTAGAGCTCCTACGGAGTTGGGAAAGTTCCAAATCGTATTAAAGCATCCGCAACTTTTCTAAAATCGTTCTGTGTTGGAATAGACATATGAGTTTTATACAAATTATCCCAAAGACAATCTGCAATTTCTGGCACAATTTGGCATACTGTAGATTTACCCATATGAAACGAGAAAGCTAAACTCCTAAACGAAATTCCAGTAGACAAATACCTCCAACAAAAAAGTCATTATTTACATTTAGTCGAAAAGCTAATTATTTGAAGATTGTTACTAGTTAACATTACATATTAACGCTACATATTATTATAATTATTCTTACGTAATAAGACATTTAGGTATTTATTTCTTACAGTCTGTATTGTGAAGTCGCATTGGAAAAGGTTAAGGGAGACGTTTATGACGAAATTATCCAAAATACAATATAAACGCTCTGGAGATGGCGCTGACGAAAATGATTCCGAAAAACCGGACTGGATATATTTCGATTCGCTTTTATTTCTTGAGGACCAAATGATACCAAGAAAAAGTTCGGGAAATTTTCATGAAGGAGAGGAGGAATCTGAACTCACTGAGATGCAAGAAAAATTGATAGAAAGGCATAGTGTCAGTGATGATGACTCTCGAAGTTATATAACTACTTCTATTTCTCCTCGAAGTACTCCACTTCCCTCGCCATCTGCCCCAGTACCAAAAACTAAAAACGAAAGGTAGAAACGTTGACTCCATTGGGGAGGGCATGTTAAAAGCTGAGGCAGAAAAAGTAGCTTATTTGAAGCGAAAATAAGAAAGGAGGAAAGCAAAGGAGTTAAAAGAAATAGATGAAGACGAAGCGTTTTTTAAATGTATTTTGCCTCTACATCGGAATCAGAACAGAACTCACATCTAGAGCCAATTTCACTTAATTACTCTACTCCGAGTACAAGTACTTCAATGACATTAGTCTCTTTTCCACTGATATTGGCTGCAAGTGAAAGTTGTGCCAACTTCCTTCGATTCTGTTCTTGATGTAATCAAATGTGTCAATACTTATTTGCATAAACTCAAAGAACCGTTGAGGATCTTTCCTTAAATCTCCATAAAGGTGGTGAAACTCGCCATAGGAATGCCATTTTTGATTAAGTTCGTGCGTATGTTCCTCTTGTTTTTCTTTAAGCGTGTACCATTTAGGCAAACAAGAACTATACAAAATATCTCCTTCGTCAGAATAGGTCTCGTCAGATGAAAACGGCATGGTTGTTTCTACACCCTTGCACCAACACTGAATGAGAATTTGAAGCTAAGTGCGAAGCGCTGCACTGTGGACTCTTTGTACCATGATACAGGACGAGGCTCTGTTCTAGGATATGGGCGGTGCGATGTGTAAAGCAATGTGCGGTGCGTTGTTGTGGACATATACTAAGAATGACTTCCATGGCCCTGGTCGGTGTTGTTTTCATGGCCCCTGTTATGTTGAGACATGTTGTTCTTAATATAAGTTGTTTATAATTTAATCTCTATCATATTTGTCCTACACATGCTTTCTCTAAAATGGACCGTAATGGAGAAATTTGAAGAAATTGTCAAAATTTTAATTTTTTAATATTTTCGTTGATAATGAAGATACGAAAAAAATGTTTTGAATAATTTTTATTACTGATTGATGTACATGTACCGTACTCAATATTTTTGATATTTCTACAGAAAAGTCATGTGTTGGACACATATTTTTTATTTAGTTGCCACGACACTTTTTGCGTTGTCCAGAATTTTTAAAATAAAGGAAAAACACCTAATTATTTTTCTATATCACTCTTCCTAAAATACATACAGAGGTGGAATTCGTATGAACATAAAAGTAAATATTTGGCAACAAAATATAAATTCTTTGGAAGTATTGGTACACGTCACGGGATATACGGGACATAAAATTTTAAAATCCCAAATATTATTCATGATATCTAAAAATGGAATAAGATTAACAAGTCAACCGCTAATTTTATTAGATTTTTAAATTAATAAAATTTTTGCTACTGTGTAAATGGTAATTTGTTCTATGAACTATTTAAAAAGTATGACTAATACAAGATCATTCTCATGTTTATTATAATAAATCAGTGTAGCTTTTGATTTGCTTCGTTAATAAATTTCATTTATTTACTTATTTTACAAGTTTATAGTCATTTTTTTATTAAGAAAGAAAAATCTAAACTAATATATTTAAAACCATAATTTAAAGACCACATTTTAAATCATTTTCAATTTTCCAAATCCTGAAATCCCAATAAATAAAACTTTATACAGGGTGTTTCCTAACCTCTCCGACAAAAGAAAGGTGAAGAATTCTCACTTAATTTTAAAACGAAAATGTGGTATAATTTTTTTTAGAATGTCGCTTTCTTTTTCGAATTACAGGATGTTGAAAAATAAAATTTGATGCGTTTTTTTATTTTTAATTAGTGGCAAACGTTATTCCGGTGATATTTAGTACACATAATAAGGGGTTTTAGTACTTTACTTTGTGTACATTTTAAACTTTTCAATTAGTTCACTGGAGGAGATCCGGGTTTAGCATTGAATATTTTTCTTTTTTAACGTAAAAATCAATTTTTAGTAAAGTACTAAACCCCTTTATTATGTGTATCAAATATCTCTGGATTATCGTTTGCCATTAATTAATAATAAAAAAAAGCACCAACGAAACGACATTCTAAATAAAATTTATGCCACACGTCTTAAAATTAGGTGCGGATTCTCCTTCTTCCTTTTATCAAAGAGGTAAGGAAACACTCTGTATATCTAACGTTTATTACGTAATTTCTTGTACCTATTAATTGAATGCATTGTTAAGTTTTTGAATTTAATCCTAAACCATCAGTTAACAATTTAATCGAGGTGTAATTTTCATTTTCTTTTCTTTTGTAATTAATTAAAAATTATAAATAATTGTAATGGCAGTAATTAGAGTTCAATTTATGTTTAAAATTCAATGACCATTTAAGATAACAACACTAGAATAATCTTGCTCAAGTATCTTTCATTATCTTATAAAAAAACATTAAATTGGATAAGTAATATTTTTTAAAATTTGAAGGAGACTGTACAAAGTAGTCAGAAATGTTTCCAATTAAAATCAAAGGTAATTTAAATACGGGTCTGGGATGATAACACAAATCGATAAAAAAATTTTTTTTGGGTTTCTGTTCTAATGCTTGAATTCTGATTCTGGGCATCAAAAAACACTTAAAGGAAAATGGGCAGTTTGGCCCCACCCCCCAATAGGAGTAAGATATATGCCAAATAAAAGATATCAGTAAGGAAACAGATGTTTTCATTATGACTTTCTCTCAATTATTATCTGTCCGTTCCGAGTTATATCGTAGTGCATGTGACAAACCGTCTGCATTAACTCTGGAAGTTCTTTTACTAGTGGGTTCTGACATAAAGCCCCCTTTGCTTGTCATGGTAACGACTAAACAAACACCCAAATCCCGTAGTGGAGGAAATGCGTAGTTGTCAAGTTATAGATGATTTTACTTTATTTTACTTTAGTTTAGCTGAAATTAGTTACTTAACCTACCTAAATAATGATAATTTAATTTGGGGTCTGAATCATTCTCTAATTTCATAAAAAAATTAATTTATTGGTAACCCTGCAATATTTGTTAATAAAATTCTAGGGTTAAATACAGTATTACTAAAGCATTCTAAAACTGAAGTAAAATACAGGGTTTTCTACTTAAAAAATATACCGTTTTATTTGTCAGACAAAAACGCAAAACCCTGTATATCTAAAAATATCTTTAAAATACCTATTTTTAAAATTCATATAACTTTTATTTAGAAATTGTTTACGTGTCTACAACACAAATTAAAATATTGAACAATTACGCACTAATGAGACAACCTGAATATATTATTCACAATATATGCACGCGACATATGTTTGTAATAATTTAATCCCGCGCCGCGTTTATATATTTATTTACGCTTCTATTAGATATTGTAGTTTACCTAAGTATTTACTTAAGGTTTGTTCCAACATAAACCAAATCAGTTTGTGTACTGTCGGGATTCTGCGCAGTCTAGAATTTGTGTTCCATCAAACCTTAGACTCGAAACTGTACAAAAACATAGTGTTCCAACACAACCAAAATTAATCACAAACCGATTTGTGTACTGTCAAATCAGTTCCTGGGTCTGAATAGGAACGAATTGTCAAGACATGCGCTAAGCCGCAATAAACTGAACATTTCGTGATTGTAATTATATTATTTGTATCTATTGTCTTTGACAGTTCTGATTTGTATTTGTTAATCGAGCTTAGTCTTCATAGTTTTTGTTCATGATCATTTATTTTATTTTGTGGTTTATTATTGTAATATTGCGTCTGTTGAATTTAAAAAATGTGTTCCAACATAATCGAGTTCCGAGTTGAATCCCAATCCCCGACCAGTACCTGACAAGTTGTCAATTACTAGCCATCGACAGATTGTCAATAATAAGTTTTGGACTGGTTTATGTATTGTTCCAAGATCGTTGTTGGAACAAACCTTTAAACTACTTTACTCTTAAAACGTAAAAACAAACTTAAATTTTTAGAAAAACTACTTCGGCTCGGCAGACCCGACCACAACATTTGCTTCGACAGTCAACGTGTTTTAAATGCTTTTTTATTAATTTGTTGTTTAATTTGTATTTAGTTATTAATATTTCAAAAATGCTTATTTTTCTTATTGATTAATCTAAAATACACACGTAATTTTTATTAATAATTGAAAATAGTACTGTAGTTCTAAATTGATAAAAAAAGTAGGAATATGAAAACATAAATTACGACTCTACAAATGAAGTAAAATTTTATGATATTTTTTTTTTCTTACAAAAACATTAGCTCAGCAATATGTTATAAGTTGCATACATACAGTATGTCTATGTAAGTTGATAGCAAATAGAAAACTTTTTTATTATTTATTTTACGAAAAAAAGTTATTCTTCATAAAAATTTATGCATGGTCTAACAGAAAATGCAACCACTTGATATCAAATTTTATCAGTCGGTTTTACAAGGTTTGTCAAAAAATATAATTTTCCTCAAGATAAAATACATTTATTTTCGACCAACACTGTATATGACTGATAAAATTTATTTTCGACCAGCACTGTATATGACTGATAAAACTTGTTATCAGATGATTGAATTTTAGGTTTTAGACCATGCATAACTTTTTATGTAAAGTAACTTTTTTTCTAAAATTAATAGACCATGCAATTGTTTATGAAAAATAAGTGTTTTTCTTAAAAGTCTTAAAAAAGTTTTCCGTATGCCGATACTGCCAACTTACATATAAATGAGATTAAATTTTTTGAAAATAATTTTTACTGATGCAGATCTAAATAAATTATTGTGGGTATACGTATAAGGTAATAAAAACACTTTTTTATTACATTTTTCTTTTTTTCATTTGGTTATTTGGCTGTAAGACCTTTCGGTATATAAAGGGTATTCCATTAAGAATGGGAACAACAAGATTAACTAATTAGAAATAAGCCGAATAAACGAAACGTCCGTAGGTAAAACATTACTCGTTTCCGAAAAACAGGGTTTTAAAGTTGAAAATCAAAAATTATGATTAGCTACAATTTTTTCATTACTCAGTTTAATTTTACTAAATTCGGAAAACGTTATTGGTGTAATAAAATACACCTATCAGCAAAAAAAATAAGCTAA